CTATCCTATTGACAAATGTGCATCTAGTGCAGATTGCCTAGATATTGCTTTCATTCACAAGCATTAGAAACAGAGATAAATGGTGGCTAGTAGTGGAATCCAGGACGCGTGTCGTTCCGTCTCATTTGGGACTCGTCAACTGGATGTACCTGAATCTGATGATGTTGATGTTTTCTCCGGGACTCGAACCCAGTAATGTTCGCTTGAAACTCCATCACACTATCCACTTAGCTAATGAATCTTTATTTTATGTATCACCACCATTGAATTGACTACTTCTATGAATCCGATTTTCATCTTGTCGTGCTTGAACCGATACATATATGTGTCTGATTCTACGTTGTAGCTGACTGACTGAGATACTGAGTTCATATAGCCAATACCATGTGTTTGTTCTGAATTCCACTGATAGACACAATCCATCTCTGCTCTTAATCTATGACGTAAATGTGTTCTAATGTTTTTATGGATTTTCAATAATACTATCTGTGATATCAGTTGGCATGACGATTTCTTCATACAACAGCTATTTTAAAAATAATTTATGATATATAAGTCATAAGTAAGTTCTTAGGGAAAATCTTTAGAATCCAATACAAATGTTCGCATTGTACAATTAACTATAGACACTAAGTTAATAATCTAAGAAACTGAATGCAAGTTTTCTACTTACTTATTTAGGCCGCCAACCAGCATTATTGAACCCACTCTATTCTGGGCCATCCTTTCCAATTCTATTCAATTTTTGTTCATTCTTCTCATGACTGTCTCCATTCCTCGACGTATTGTGTTCTTTGATCTTCTTATTCTCCTCTGGCCTTGATAATTTCAAGTGAGAACTTGCCTTGTGACACAGTTGAGTGCTTTCCACTTCCAGCGCTTCTTCCTGATTTATTCCTACTCTCAGATCTGGTTTGTTTTCTCCTACTGTAGGTTGTTGCTAATTGTGTCTGACCAACACATCCGAAGTATTTTGCGTAGACAGCTGTTAATAAACACTTGTATCTTCTGGATAATGGCTTACGTAGTTCTCCAAGTTTCTGCCGCATATATATATTGACAATTTCGTTTACTTCTAATCGTTTAGTCGTTAGTGAATGGAAAGTGAAAAAAGTAGACATTGAATAGATTTTTTGAACAAGTAAAACTACCTAGGAAACATTTGTTTACTATGGTGTATAGAGGATAACTCTTTCGTCTTAATGTAAGGTCTCTCAATAGTATAAAGCAAAGATCAAACATAGGATTGTGCTTTGGATATCTATATCATTGACTTGAGTATAAAAGTCAATGGTGCTTCCTGTGCTTCCTGCCCCCAATCCCCCACAGTTTTTCATGATAATTGTAAGAAATCAATTTCAAAAGTCAATTACTCATTATGTACACGATTATTATTCACTATAATGTTTCATTAAGTTATTCGTACATGTTCCTGAGTATCAAAAAGGATGAAGCGATTCATTGACTTATAGGCTATAAGAGTTTGTCAATTAATCTTGATTTTAGAAGATTCAGTATACCAACCTATTTTATAGCTATTTTGTTATACAATTCTATTGTCTAATAGTTTTTTTTTATAGATTCCTCAATAATCCATAACACCTTGGAGTTTAACATTTCACATTTGACTAAATATCAATGTAAATAAGTATAAGACTGTAAGCATTAAACCTTATAATTTGTATTTCTATCTGTTAAAGCTTATCAGCTGAACACAGTCAAAGCTTCAGTGAATGTTCATCTATCACTTGAGGCTCATAAATATGATATCAATTCACAAATATTATGACTAATCTAGGAACATTACAAATAGCTTTCGATATCATCTTGGAATATCCAATATCAGTTCAGATAATTTGTAGCGATGGTATTGAAGAACTCCGCCCGGAGTCACTTTGAGACTACTATCGGTCTCAAGCCTGGATAAAGAAGGAGGATTAGGCATGCGGTTAGTGACTCCATCCTGTAGAAAACTAACTCATTAAAAAAAACGCTCACCAGAAAAAATATTTCAAACCATTTAAATTCTGCCCTGGGTGTTAGAAGATTTTCATTTAGAAGAGCTATGATGCTTCATTGGTGAAAGCCAAGTTCCTTTGAAAATCACGAAATTGATGCCCCTTCTGACAACCAGAGCAACTATTAATTTAGGTACATCGAATGCTCATACAATTTTGGAGACAGAGAGAGTCATCCAAATGACTGCAGAATGGTATTGAAGACAAATATTTCGTCTTATTTTAAAGTCTTCAGTTGAGATATACTCAAATCCATGAAAAATCCTTATGAGTTGTACACTGATGTACTGAATCATACATCCAGTAAGAAACTTATTTAGAAAGTTAAAGTAATTTAAGAAAATGTCACAGAAAACTCACAAAACTATTGATTAAAACATATTTTTCCCCAAAATTTACTAGTTGCCATAGTTACTATACTGATGAATTAATATATCAAGAAATATATATCTAGCATAGTTACCACTAAATCTTTCATTTTGAAACGTCACTGTATTTTATTATAATTTTCATTGTTTAATCTCATTGGTCTTTATTTATTTATTTGAACACATAAATGTTGGTACAAAGGGTGACCGAATACACATGCGTCACACAAGTCACTTGATTTGTGTGTGGACTATGATAGTGCCTGGGTGCCCAGACTGAAGTAGGTGGTTTTCTCAGACGCTTCAACCTAAAGGTCTGAACCACAAGGTAGTGGAGCAATGTTAGGAGATGTAGTACTATGGTAGCCGATGACCAACAACTGGTTCATATGGCATTTGTCCATTCAGGATCGTGTAGCCTATGTGCACCATTGGTTTGGAATCAGGGTTTTCCAACTCCCCTAGATGGATCCTCCGATTCCATCAACCTAGTTAAAACTCCGAACATTCGCTTTTCGTCCTCTCAATTTTGTAAACAACACCGGCACTTTGAAAAGTCAGTAAGTTGGATTTCCCTGGTAATGGCTGTATACGAGAGCGTTTCGTGAAGGAAAGTGGACTCTCTCCACCCTCGGCCGTGTCAGGCATTTAATATAAGATTTTCTTTAATTACATCACTAATTGATCTTAATTAAGTTATCATTGAGAATCAGGAAACATTGTACAGGTATTTTGCAATAATATATTCAACAGTACACATCTATAACCGTATCAGAGATGATCAACGACCATCCACCAGAATTTGCCATTCACCATTTCAAAACCGTAGAACACCAAGTCTTGTGTATGAATGCTTAACCTATAGATTAGTTCATCATGTAAACTATGGGAAATTTAACAATATCCACATTAAACTAATATAATTGTATGTCACTTATGCCAAGTGTATTTTCTATTATAACATATGATCAATTATAAGTGATAAATAGATTAGTTTAATATCTAATTAAGTGAACACTTATTTGCTCTTTATATACTTCTAAGTAGTTATATTTGATAAAGTATTATAATAATAAGTAAATGAAAAGTGGTTTTATATCATTATTTTCTTTTGGGAAATGTTTCCAAAAAAGGATGAACTACTTATTATTACTACATACTTCATACTTACTTATTTACTTACTTACTTACTTACTTACTTACTTACTTACTTACTTACTTACTTACTTACTTACTTACTTACTTACTTACTTACTTACTTACTTACTTACTTACTTACTTACTTACTTACTTACTTACTTACTTACTTACTTACTTACTTACTTACTTACTTACTTACTTACCTACTTACTCACTTAATTACGCCTGTTGACCCTCGTCAAGGAGCATAGGCCGCCAATCAACATTCTTCATCCAACCCTGTTCTAGAAAATACTTTCCAGTTGCTATTCATCCTTTTCATTGTCTGCTTCCATTTTTTGATGCAGTGTGTCGTTTGGCCTTCCTCTTTTCTGTTTTGCTTCAGGATTATAAGCTAGGGTTTGCTTCTTGATACAGTCTTGTGATTTCTGCACTGAATGTTCTATCCACTTACAACGTCTTTTCCTAACTTCTTCTTCAGCTGAAACCTGGTTTGTTCTTTCCCACAGTAAGCTGTTACTACTGGTATCCGACGAAAAAACCTGTAGTATCTTGTGTAGTTAATTGTTTATAAATACTTGTACTTTTTGATGATAGTTGTGGTATTTTTCCAAGTTTCAGGTACGTACAGTAGAACTGTCTTGATGTTGGTAATGAAGATTCTGACCTTGATAATGGTTGATAGTTGTTTTGAGTTCCATATGTTCTTCAACTGTAGGAATACGGCTCTTGTTTTAAGAAATCGACTATCACATTCTTAGTGGTCAATGAATCTTCTAACAATTTCATGATTATTTTGGAATTTCGAGATCTCTACCAAATACATGATAGATTATAATGGCGACTAAAAGTATGATAGATTGATGGATCTGTGGATAGATAGATAGATAGATAGAAATAAGAGTTTGCACTTAAAATTCTATACTCTAGGTTGTCAGATGGATTTATCTACATCTCACAGTTGATGTTCACTACAGGACTCGAACTCAGTAACTTTCACTTTCATCTTTGCATAGAAAACTCATGGCTTAAGACAATATCGAAGCAATTCGCATCGTATACACATACGCCAATAAAAGACTGATCAATTACAATCCTAAATAAAGATGAGAAGATACAAGTAAAACAACACCAAGGTAATTTAAAGGTATATAATATTTATAAAATGTCAGTATATCGAGAAAGGTAACAAATGATGATGTCATTATTGACAATAACATAAATAATGTTTGAAAGTCTGTCACTTACACTTGTTAGCAGAACATACTGATGAAGATATTCATGCGCCGAAAGCATAGGCTCCCATTCAAGAACTGTTACCATATTGTTTGTTATTTTCATTCATTCATCTTACCTCTTTTTTTCTTATTTAGATTCTTTTGCAAAAACGAGAAGAAAAATAGATCAATAACAACTATTGGAAGACAATTATATAACAACAGAGAAAGTATTCTGTTTATAACATTGAAAAAAAATGAATATAATTCATTTAAGTAGTTCAATACTACTCATTCAAAATATTGTTGTAAAAGCTATTCTTTTATATGTTACTTATGTCACTATTATATCATTGGAAAGTCAATCATACTCATCTTTATCATTGTCACATTCATTACGATTATCATCATCATCTTCATCAGCGGCGGCGGCGGCGGCGGCGTCAACGACAGCACCAGCATCGTCATCCTCATCATCATCGTCGTCAGTAAATTTATTTTATCAAACAAAAGATTGGACAATAAAATTTTTTGACCATATTAAAAATGATAATCATGTTATCTATGAAGAACAAAATATGAATGAACAATTGGAAAAACGTGCTATCAATGATTTAGGTAAGTTAATTCATTCAGTAATTCAATTGAAATTAATTTCAGAAGGGGTTTTTATGAATATTATAGTGATTTTAATAGTTGAAATCATGATTCAGTTAAATCTTATGAGGAGGGATTGTGATTGTGAACTTCCATTAACGAGTCCCCTACTGATAAAAATCAATATCAACTCACTAGTGACTAACTTCATGAGGTATTTCCTGGAGTTCTAGTGAGATGTAATGACCAGTGAAGTTCAAACGGGTTTATTATCAAATAGTAACTCATTGAAGATATAGGTAGATGTGTTGATCGATTTCGTGGATTAGTTGAAGTTAAACAATAACATCGTTGGATACCGGCCGATTCAATGATCTAGTGATTAAGGACTCACACACGAAACTGATAGGTCCTAGATCCGAATCCCTCAGGGCGCACTGATCAACAGTATCATACTAGAACGAAAAGGGTTTTCCAGTACATCTAGGTTTTCCATGATGATCTAACTTCAAGTGACTCATGAATTCTACTATTAAAAATGTATTTCAATGAACCTATACTATACTACTATTAATTATCAACTAATATGGTAATCCTTTTTCTTTTACCTAATTTTATATTCCATCATGTTTGATTTCTTATTCATTGACTTAAGTTATATTCTTCTCATGAATTTTAGATAATCTACAATAATATTGATAGACTAAATTCTAATTAAACTTATTCATAACCTTTCTATAATGAGATAAACAATGGTAAGACGAACAAATAAGGCTTTAGGATAATAGATCTTTAATTTTGACGCTAAATTCATTTATTCATTTGATGAAAGAACATTTTAGGATTTTAGATGATATCAGTTCGTGGTAACAAAAAAAAAACAATATTAACTCTAATTATTTACTACAAACTATCATTCACGATCCCGCACACCGCGAGATTCGAACCCAGGATCTATCAGTCTCGTTGTTTAAGCACCTAGCGCGGGAGTTCTGGGTTCTAACCTCTTGAGGAGGATCATGGACTAGCAGTAGTTAGGAACCTCTTGTTAGGACAAAACTATCTTCCACTGCTTCCAGTTAATCGATGGTGGTTTTATCAGAACATAAGTATACGACAAAAATTTCAGTTTCTTTATAAAAAAAACACAACTAAACAGTATGAATGTAAACCATGTCTAACAAACATTTAAACTTATAACCTTTTGTTGAGTTTGTATACATTCATACTATGCATTCTATTCAGCACTACGATACAGAAAATATTTGAAACATTTCCTTCGAATGACAAACAGTGAAAAATATTAAACAGAGATTCATCTACTTAAATAAATATAAGTAGACAAACGTTGTCAACAAAATAATCATGTTGTAAAACTGGAATTAAATGAAAACTGATATAAAGTATGGATAAATGTTAAAAAAAACCTATAAATTACCAATTAATATATGACTACCAGTAGTTTATAAGGCAAAATAATAACGAAATTAAAAATTGGTAATAAAAATTAGGGAAAATTATATGGGTGTCAGAAAACAGAAAACAAAGTAAGCGATGAAACATAAAATAAAATATAAGAGAAAAGAAAATATAGAAAAAAAATAAAAATAAACAACGAAATATCCGTTAAATTTCAGAAAAATCAAACATCCAAAAACGACAACAGCAAATAGTAGACAATACAACACAAACAATAACAGAAGTAAATACAATAGAGACGGAAAATACAACAGAAACACAAATACAAACAAATTACCAAACCACAAAAGACGATATTCAGCAGAACGAAACAACCATGACGATGACGACGACCACAAGCGCGACCACATCGCCACCATCGTCCACAACTACACAAACACCGACCACGCAAACAACCATCAACACAACACCATCACAAACACCCACCGTGGAAAGCACAATCACAACCGCAACACCAACAACAACAACACCACTCTCCACAACCACCACCACCATCCCGACAACTCTGGCCACAACAGCACCAGCAACAACCACACTCATCACAACACCCGCAACAACCAGCGTCATGCAAACCACATCCACACAATCAACACCCACAACACAATCCGAAACCCAAACACCCACCACACTAACAAACACACAGACTAACCCTTCCACGCACACCGAAACACCGACCACAACACACATCACGACTGACTCTACTACGCAAACTCAAACACCCACGACGATGACGACGACCACAAGCGCGACCACATCGCCACCATCGTCCACAACTACACAAACACCGACCACGCAAACAACCATCAACACAACACCATCACAAACACCCACCGTGGAAAGCACAATCACAACCGCAACACCAACAACAACAACACCACTCTCCACAACCACCACCACCATCCCAACAACTCTGGCCACAACAGCACCAGCAACAACCACACTCATCACAACACCCGCAACAACCAGCGTCATGCAAACCACATCCACACAATCAACACCCACAACACAATCCGAAACCCAAACACCCACCACACTAACAAACACACAGACTAACCCTTCCACGCACACCGAAACACCGACCACAACACACATCACGACTGACTCTACTACGCAAACTCAAACACCCACGATGATGACGACGACCACAAGCGCGACCACATCGCCACCATCGTCCACAACTACACAAACACCGACCACGCAAACAACCATCAACACAACACCATCACAAACACCCACCGTGGAAAGCACAATCACAACCGCAACACCAACAACAACAACACCACTCTCCACAACCACCACCACCATCCCGACAACTCTGGCCACAACAGCACCAGCAACAACCACACTCATCACAACACCCGCAACAACCAGCGTCATGCAAACCACATCCACACAATCAACACCCACAACACAATCCGAAACCCAAACACCCACCACACTAACAAACACACAGACTAACCCTTCCACGCACACCGAAACACCGACCACAACACACATCACGACTGACTCTACTACGCAAACTCAAACACCCACGACGATGACGACGACCACAAGCGCGACCACATCGCCACCATCGTCCACAACTCCACAAACACCGACCACGCAAACAACCATCAACACAACACCAACACAAACACCCACCGTGGAAAGCACAATCACAACCGCAACACCAACAACAACAACACCACTCTCCACAACCACCACCACCATCCCAACAACTCTGGCCACAACAGCACCAGCAACAACCACACTCATCACAACACCCGCAACAACCAGCGTCATGCAAACCACATCCACACAATCAACACCCACAACACAATCCGAAACCCAAACACCCACCACACTAACAAACACACAGACTAACCCTTCCACGCACACCGAAACACCGACCACAACACACATCACGACTGACTCTACTACGCAAACTCAAACACCCACGACGATGACGACGACCACAAGCGCGACCACATCGCCACCATCGTCCACAACTACACAAACACCGACCACGCAAACAACCATCAACACAACACCATCACAAACACCCACCGTGGAAAGCACAATCACAACCGCAACACCAACAACAACAACACCACTCTCCACAACCACCACCACCATCCCGACAACTCTGGCCACAACAGCACCAGCAACAACCACACTCATCACAACACCCGCAACAACCAGCGTCATGCAAACCACATCCACACAATCAACACCCACAACACAATCCGAAACCCAAACACCCACCACACTAACAAACACACAGACTAACCCTTCCACGCACACCGAAACACCGACCACAACACACATCACGACTGACTCTACTACGCAAACTCAAACACCCACGATGATGACGACGACCACAAGCGCGACCACATCGCCACCATCGTCCACAACTACACAAACACCGACCACGCAAACAACCATCAACACAACACCAACACAAACACCCACCGTGGAAAGCACAATCACAACCGCAACACCAACAACAACAACACTACTCTCCACAACCACCACCACCATCCCGACAACTCTGGCCACAACAGCACCAGCAACAACCACACTCATCACAACACCCGCAACAACCAGCGTCATGCAAACCACATCCACACAATCAACACCCACAACACAATCCGAAACCCAAACACCCACCACACTAACAAACACACAGACTAACCCTTCCACGCACACCGAAACACCGACCACAACACACATCACGACTGACTCTACTACGCAAACTCAAACACCCACGACGATGACGACGACCACAAGCGCGACCACATCGCCACCATCGTCCACAACTACACAAACACCGACCACGCAAACAACCATCAACACAACACCATCACAAACACCCACCGTGGAAAGCACAATCACAACCGCAACACCAACAACAACAACACCACTCTCCACAACCACCACCACCATCCCGACAACTCTGGCCACAACAGCACCAGCAACAACCACACTCATCACAACACCCGCAACAACCAGCGTCATGCAAACCACATCCACACAATCAACACCCACAACACAATCCGAAACCCAAACACCCACCACACTAACAAACACACAGACTAACCCTTCCACGCACACCGAAACACCGACCACAACACACATCACGACTGACTCTACTACGCAAACTCAAACACCCACGACGATGACGACGACCACAAGCGCGACCACATCGCCACCATCGTCCACAACTACACAAACACCGACCACGCAAACAACCATCAACACAACACCAACACAAACACCCACCGTGGAAAGCACAATCACAACCGCAACACCAACAACAACAACACCACTCTCCACAACCACCACCACCATCCCGACAACTCTGGCCACAACAGCACCAGCAACAACCACACTCATCACAACACCCGCAACAACCAGCGTCATGCAAACCACATCCACACAATCAACACCCACAACACAATCCGAAACCCAAACACCCACCACACTAACAAACACACAGACTAACCCTTCCACGCACACCGAAACACCGACCACAACACACATCACGACTGACTCTACTACGC